AGGAATTCGTGCATGAATAAATAAAAAATAACAGCAATTTTTCAAACGTTTTTTTCAGATCATACTGCTTCAGGGTTTTGCGCTCATGTGCAGCGATCAGCGCCTACTACAAAACCGCCTGCTTCTGTCAATTGTTTCATAAATATGGACTGTCTGAACATGTGGTTGAACAAGTCAACATTGAATAAATAACTATCAGACTACTAACTCATACATTTCCCACCTCCTCCACATCCACTTGACACATCTGCAAGTATGTAGGCTAAGTTTGGGATAACCAACAGATTCGTGGGATGCCTCGTTAAGGCGGAAAAATTGGCCCATCTGATTTGTGTTCGATTCCTGTTTACGGTAGTTCTCAACTTTTTGTTTGAAAAATGAAATTATCTAAAGCGACCTATTAAAATACAACCAAACACCCAACATATGAGGTGTATTCATCCCATTTCGTTTAAGGTGATAAGGGTTCTGCCAGTTGAATTTTCCCACATTGAGGTGATTAGGCATTACGTTGCTATTGGATTTTATATGACCTTGCTGTCTAAAAAGGTATGATGGACTGTAGTTTGAAATTCAATTTAAATGTCATGTTTACGTATATCATTGCGGAAAAATTCAACTACCAGACCTTTTATCACTTTAACCGAAACAGAATGAATACTCTTCATATATATGATCTACTGGTAATATCAAAAATCTACTTTTAAATAAAAATCACCCAACAACCTTAATAAAAGATATAGAATTACGAAATCAAGTGGTAACTAATTGTGGATGTCGGAGGGGTTTATGAAGAGAGGGAGAGGAAGTGAGAATAATGCTTGAGTTGGTATAAAATATACAAGTCAATTTGCTATGGAAATAACTTATACATTTCCCACCTCCTCCACATCCACTTGACACACCTGCAAGTATGTAACTTTTAGTTTGGGACAATCAACAGAATCGTAGGATGCCTCGTTAAGACAGAAAAATTGGCCTTTCTGATTTGTGTTCGATTCCTGTCTGCGGTAGTTCTCAACTTTCTGTTTGGCGAGGATCTCCAAAAGAATACTTCCACACTCTGAAGATACTCAACGCCGCCAAATAAGTGAAATTTGAGTATTGAATAGTTGGTCAATTTAACAATTATTCTCTAAAGACTCTTCATTCATATTATTAAGGGATTTGTTAAGGGACTATTACTTATTTATTATTTATTGTGTTTATGAATTTCTCAATAAACAATTTCATTGTTTTGTATGAGAAATTTATTATGCTGTACTTTTCAACTTTAGAGGCCACGCATGGAATCAAAGAGGTCCATAAAGTCAGGGCTCTTTGTCAAATTTTTAACGAAGAGCTCATTTGTTGGATCGTAGGCTTTCTGAAGCCACACATTGCCTTTTCGGTACATAAAGGCAACATTTTCAATTCGGTCTCGGCGTCTCGATAGCGCCCACTGGGACTCAATTCCAGGCGTGCCTTGGGTCGGAGTTTCGGTCTGTAGGTCCGGTTTCTTTAAAATGCGCTATAATGCAGAGAATTAAGTTCTTTTACGACAAGAATATTGAAATTTCCCAATCATTTTTACGTAGACAATTGGTATTAATGAGATTTTGCTTTAGAAAATAGACTTAAAGGATACTCAAACGCCGTCCAAGCTTTTTTCGTGTTGGATATCAGGAACCGTAAATTCTAGAAGAATTTGTCGACAAAAGTATTTTGTCTTTCAACTTTTGGAGGCAAAAGTAAAGTAAACTCTTTCAATCTGAAAGGCTCGTATATGATGTTGGGTTCATCAAACGGTATTTTGTTTGCAGAAACGCTGGCAGAGGTTTGTTGCCATCACCAGAATACTCTTGTTTTCTTCTCCGAAAGCATCAATTCTTAGACTTCCAAATTGTATACTCGACTAGTGTAAGTGTGAATAGGCGTTTTTTTTTATTGGAATGTGACTACATTTTCGGACAATTTTAGCGCTTCATATAGATTTACTGAAATTTGCCTCGAATTAGTGCTTTCGCATGCGTGAAAAGTCACAGTTTCCGGCTCATTTATCAGCGCTCTATAGTCATTCCAACTCAGACTATGAGTTGCAACAAGCAATTTTGTCTGTGGATCACTCATTTATGCTGAAAAGAGGAGTTTGTCACAACTCATAAAGTAAATGCAGTTATGACAATTTAGTATAATCTTAACATGTTATTAAGACTTTAAACAATATGCCAACTTTAATTAACCGCATAGAAACTTGTAGCCATTTTATGATGGCCGTTTCGTAGATCAGGGCAAACGTTAACTTAAAAAAAAGAATTAGTATAAAATTATACTT